TCGGTAACTTAATGAATCTACCCGAAGGACGCCACCCTTAGGTAGAGCCGATAACTTGACCTTAATCCAATTCAAGCAGTGGAGGTCGAACTTAACCGATGCAGCCGTACCTGAACTAGATAAGGATCGATAACTAGCTTATACTAGAGCTCGCAAGAGGTCGGTCGGACCGATGCAGCCTTATAAACAGAAGTATAAGCCATGACGGTACTTACCGACAAGGCGAAGGTTGGCCAGACCGATGCAGCCCTGCTTGTTGAAGAACTCGCCGAGATCTACAATACTCCTACTCCTAAGGGTTGGCGTAAAGCCAAAAAAAGCAATTGGTATTGATTGATTGGATGTCCCTTACAATAGCTGGGGTTCAATATTTATACCCGGAACCTAAGCATGAATCCTATTCAAATACGACTCATTAGAATCCTTGGAATAAAAGAAAATATTCCTAACTTAAGATAACTTGGACTCTAATCTTCCTTTTTTGTAGAGTCCGACATTTTTCTCTCGACGCCAACAATAGCTCATTGACGTTATCTATTGACGTCATTCGAAGAGAGCCGATCCCAGTACCGCATCTGAATCAGCTGATATCGATCCTTATGCAATTGATTCCGTGATGACTCAATCTTGGAAGCTTCGAGTTCCCGCGTTCTTTTTCTAAATTTTGGTGTAAACACCATCACTACCTTCATGATCTTCATCATTTGCTCCACCACTTGAAATGTGCTTTCCTATTCTCATAATCACTAGAGCAAATAGGTTAGCACCTAGGGTTTCATCAATTCACCAAAACCAAACTAAAGCTTTCACCCGACATCGAAGGGACTGCCCCAAAAATTTTGAGTCCAAATTCGAACCGGCGCACTATCCACACCTCCACTGGCTAAGCCGCCAAGAGGACTGCACTGTCGAGGACAACTGCCACACTGCCGTCCCCTGAGTCGCTGACGCCGTCGTCCACGATGCCACGGCCGCCCGTGCTCCTACTTTTTTTCAAAAAAAATTCTCAGCCACGCTAGACACCCCTGGAAATTCGTAATCTAGGATTTGTCACGTGACCTTCATGAATGCTCGGAGGCCTTTTTTTCCAAAAAAAAAATACTTAATATACGCTTAATAGATGTATCTGAATTTGTTTTCACTATATCTTTTTTTATTCTATTACAGATATATTTTTTTTAGAATTACACAGTACGACGCAGACGCCTACAACACGCTCACCCCTATGAACTTTTGAAAAGTGAAAAACCAGATATCCTTATCCTTGAATTGATGCACAAAATGTCTTTTTTTAGAGTGTGTGCCGCCCACAGATGAACCACGTCAACTTTAGGTTGTGCTTATAAGAGGAAGACGATGCACACAATGTCTGATGAAACCATCTACAGTCATATCTGTCTATGACTAATTATTACTAATATAAAATTATTGTGCATCATTTAAACTACTTACAAATTATCTATATATATATACGGCCACTAGCCCGCTACTAGGTGTAGCCGTGTAGGGTGTGGGTGTGGGTGTGGGGCGGGGAGGCGGCCGGGTGGGCTCCTTTTTTTTTACAGTGGTCAGTGGCGGGGCGGAACGCTGGTGGCACTGTGGCAGACACGGGCGAGCAGCCTAGCAGCATGCAGTCGCCGATTGAGCTGCCCTTTGCACGCGGCTGCGCCACCCCTGTGTGTAGTGCTTGGCTGCATGCATGCGCATGCGCACAGCGATGTGTGCTTCCGGAGTTCCAGCTACTCTGTTGTTGTAGACCTACTCCTCAGATCCAGTAATTAAGCTAGCAGCCGCAGGCAAGGAACAAATATATACTACTGTGCTGTGCGTGCCTAGCATGACAGAAACGAGACATGCTCACATGCATCATGGAGAGAGGGGCACTGACTATGACTAATGTAACCGGCCGGGCACTGGAGTAGGTACACGACACGCCATCGATAGGAAAAGAAAATCCAAGCGCACTTTAGAACACAACACAGAAAATGAGAACACCATAAACGACACGTTGGCATGGCTACATTGCATTGCCATTCGATTCAAGGCCTATCTGATCGAGTTACATGAGTATTTTTTTCTCATAATTAGACCTACTAGGAAACAAAAAATTTCCGAGAATCATGTAGGAATTTCATAGAAATTAGTTTGTTTTTATAGAAAAACGTATGAAACAGAAAAGAAATGGAATCCAAAGAGGGCCTCAAAGGGAAAAAAAAGTTCCTTTGTTCTCAGCCATACCAAAGAACTGTCCAAAATCCATAATCGATATTTCTAGATTCCCCGATCGAAATCAACACGAGACGTCTTTCAAAACAACAAAAAAGGATTAACCATAAATGACCAACTTGACTCATGACAAATATTTAACAATAATAATAAACTACCTTTATCCTTAAACTTAAATATTTTTACTTTTAGTTGACATTATCCTACTTTTCCTCCATATGATCATAACTAACATGATTCTATCCCAGCTCTGTTCTGCAACCTGAAAGTCATGCTCAAGAGCCACCAATTTTTTAATATGGCAGGTTTGTTAGTTTTAATTCTGTTAAAATTTAGAATATCGAGGATAGGCGCATGGTCGCTTCTCATCATAGGGAGATGGTAGATCATCATAGTAGGGAACATCGTCCACCATTTTGCATTGCCTAAACAATGATATAATCATTCATAAGTGGGGTTAGAGTTGAAGCACACATTAGTTCAAGTGTATGCAGGGCCATTGTAGACCAAATCAATCAAACCATATTTGCTTTATGAGACAACAGAACTCAGCAATACGCTTAGCATCGGCTAGCCTATGCCCTAGATTTTCCTTATCATTCATATTCATATATTGTTCATGTCCCCATACATAGCATAACTAGAATGTGGTTTTGTACAATAAAAGACTGCATTTCCATCCAGATTTTAGCAGTTAATTGATGATAGGTCACCGAACATACTTCTATTAGTTGTTTTTATTGGATTCTTCCATTACCTGCCTTTGATTAGAGCCAATGCAAGAACATGTATCTCCAACTCAGATATGCAACACCTTTATTTCTTAAAAAGTCCCATAACCACACATGGGTATTCTTCTAGTTGATATTCCCTCTGTCCCAAAATAAGTGATGTTTTAGATTTGTCCTAAGTCAAACAATTTCAAGTTTGACCGGTTTTTATAAAAAACTTCAATATTTATGACACTGAATAGGTAGAATATGAAATATATTTCAAGATAAATCTAATAATAGTTATTTGGTATCAAAAATATTAGTACTTTTTTATATAAATTTGGTTAAACTTAAACTAGTTTGACTCAGGACAAACCTAAACATCACTTATTTGGGGACTGAGGGAGTATATATTTGTGTCCACCTTAGCCAACTTATTAGAAAATTTGCTCGGCCTCTTAATTTGAGGGCACTTTTTCATTCTTGGCCAACTTTTTAGCCAGCGCAGCTCTCAGAACTAAAACATAATACCACATACTTATAGATGGGCAACGGGCCGGCCTGGCCCGGCACGGCACGGGCCCGTGACAAGCACGGCCTGAAGGGGTTAGGCTGGCACGGCATGCCGTATCGCCCGGGCCATGCCGAGCCGGTCGTCGTGCCTGACCGACGGCCCAGGCATGGCCTGCTGGGCTGATTTTCGAGCTGGGCTGGCCCGATAAACAAGGCCTGCCAAGGAGGCCGGGCCAGCCCGAGGCTCGCTTCAGCTAGGGAAGAGAGGAGGACGGTGGCGCTCGAGGCCATGGAGGAAGCCAGGCCGCCATCCGCGGAGGCAGTGGAGAGGCATGAGGTCGAGGGGGCCGCTGGCCGTCGGCGGCGATGGAGGCGCTGCTCGAGCCGCTGCTGCTGGAGTTGGCGCGCCCGCGTCCGGAGGCGGAGGAGACGCTTGAGCCGGCAGCGCGCCCGCGTCCTGCGTCCGTAGCCAGGCGTGGAGGTGGCGGGCTGGCGGCGTCAGGAGAGAGATGGGGCATGAGCGCATCGCTACGACGCTGCCTCGTGTGGCTCGCAAGTAGAGAGTGCGGCGCGGGGAGGAGTGGATTGGGGAAAGGAAGTTAGGGTTAGGGGAAGAAGGCTGGTAGGCTCTTAGCAGGCCAGGGTGTTCACCGGGCCGCCACCAGGCCCTCACCAAATTACGGGCCATGCCAAGCCAGCCTGCGTGCCCGGCCCTGTGTACCGGGCCGTGCCAGCCCCGCTTGTCACCAGACGGGGCCATCCTCGTGTCAGGCCAAAAATGCGGGCTTCGTGCCGGGCCATCGTGCCACATGCTACATGCCCATATGTGCACAAACTTCACCATAGTACAAGAACAAATAACTGAAATTTTACAGGAACTAGGTCCATCCTAACTTGAACCCGTTCACTATCTCCATTTTCATTAAAGGTACCCTGAACAAGAAAACCGAAATGGCATTATAACTGCTAAATCCATTTTCTACACTATGAAAAACGGGAGCTCACTCAGACAAGAGACAAAACTTTCTACCCTGTTCTCGGTCTCGGATTTGGCAGCTCGGTCGCCGCTGCTTGGCTCACTGCCGGTGCTGACGGGCCATCACCAAAAGCTTCGCGGACGCTGGGCTGCCAAGCCAGGCCTTGTTGTGGTCGTGGAGACTGGAGAGAGGTTAGTTACGTCGGCCTCGGGCCGTTTCTTGTGTGGATAACTCGTCTCTTCCTTGCATTGATCTCCTTCCATAGCCACTCACCACTTGATTTCAAACATCAACCACATATACATATACGTGCTTATTAAATTAAAAAAAAAGTTGTGGTTCAATTCCAGAATACGATCACGCTCCACCCAGTTCATCTCGAATAATGTTGGGGAAACATGTGTATGCATGGTGCAATGCAGTAAGTTTTGAACCAGGCACTGATTTCAGTTGTGCACAATATATAAATAGGTTCGATCTTATGACTAGTTTCAATTTTCAAACAACCACAAATTATGACAACCCAAATTCAAACAACCATTGGATTTGCACTATCCCACCGTGGCATTGATCAACGGTGTGTTGGAAGTTGCTCGCCACGGAGGAATGTGTTGATCAGCAGCAATGCTTCAGCAGGGGGCGCCTTGTGGCCTGCACCCCTGACCGTCACCATGCTCATCCCATAGGACTCCACAAACCTGCCAGCAACCTGCATTCCATATTTTGCCCCTCATTTCAGCATCATTTGTTCCTGATATGTTCAGGTCAAAAGATGTCCAGATACTGCCGGTTCAGAATCAGACCTGTTTGTCAAGGTACCAGGGTTGCCACTGGGTCTTGATTGGCAGCCCGAGCGCTTCCACGCAGTATCTGGAGCCGATCACTGGGACCTTACCATCTGCATCACCGCTGCGTCGACGAACAAGCGCATGCGTTACAGAGAGAGTGATTAGTGGGCGTTAAGAATTCAATTGAGCATACACTTAGCTTCTTGTGAGATTTCACAGAAGGTTCACTTGAAAAGAACCAGACCTGTAGAGCCAAACTCTCAGTCCTGCTTTGATGAGCTTAGAGTATATGGGTAGCACCGAGGATACCGTGAAATTGTAGAAGTTTAGGACGGGATCGCTACACAAGAGATGGATGAGTTCAGTTCCTTCAGTTTAGTTCTACAAGAATTCAGTGACTTGTACTTTACTATACATTCAGGTGAACAACAATGAGGCCATCCACCTGCAGATATGCCATTTTCCCACATTCGCATGAAACGCTTTCTGCACTTCCTGCTTGTTGAAGTAGTCCTCGGCATGGGATGAGTAGCACGGATCATAGCCAGAGAAAATGTGTTTCCTTCTCTTGAACTGCTCATGGTATGCTGAAGATGAGCATCATTTTGAGAGTGATCATTGGCCTAGTTAAACTATCCACATTGATGCAAGGATACCTTACCTGATCATTGACGAAGATTCCATGATTTGTAGAAGATGCTGAACTCTGATTTAGAAGGCATTTGGGTGCATAGATGTTGTATGCGTCGATCTCTTGGTACTGACTATCGATGAAGTCCATGGCCGCGTTGCAATCATCAGACAAATTGGAAATCTTGAAGTCACAATGCTTTTTGATGCGGCTGTATACTTCATCTGACACAACTGCATGGCTCCAGGCATACTCAGCTCGCCCTTTCGAATCATAGGAATCGTTGGTGACAGGATTGCCAACCTGCAATAAGTCCATTATGATTGTGCCTGAAAGAATTGATTTCTTATGTGCAAAACATGAATCTAACTCTTGTTTCCATTCTTTCATGGTTCATGTGTCCACTGTAAATTTTGGGGGAAAAAATAAAATCCAGATTGGAAATCTTGAAAGATCAGACCACCAGAATACATCCTATTTGCATGCTGTGTGTTTGTAGCCATGAAATAATTTATTTAAAAGGGAAATTCTCGCATCGTAAAATCTGTTCAAATCCTTACAATGAACCCCTTGAGGTTTATATATGCTTTGCCCCTCTTGTCCTTGTTCCTCTCATAAACAAGTTCAGCAAGTTGTGGCACATAATGACCTGCAGCATAGGGAATTTCATATTTCTTTTTTTTTATTGAATATGTAGGACAGCTGCCTATCATTGCAATAAGAAGAAGAAAGTTATGAAATAAACCACACCAAGCACCCTTGAAAGATTACATTCGTGGCATAAATACATGAGAAACAACCTACGGAAATAGCACCGAGCTCATATTTCTTCTTTGATGTATGAAGAGAAGGTTTTGCGGGCATTATTTCTCCTTACATATAGCTTTCAACTAACATACTAGTTATTCGCCATTTTTTTAATGACATATGTTCGCAGATCCAATGGAACATTAAAAAACAAAAACTAAACAACATGCACATACGCAGAAATGAAATTTTGTAGTTGGTTTCAAGAAAAAAGGCAAACTAACTCAGTAAGGGGGCCATTTGTGTTCACACGTTCAGAAATCCAAGCAAGAAAAATACATTTTAACTCAGATTTCCTTCTCTGTTCTGAAGAATTTATTGTACATCTCGAAAACAAAAGCGGAAAAATGATGCCTAGGTTCTTTCAAACTGCTGCTTTCTGATCCGACACTTTATCCTCTTTGCATTGTTAGTGTGATTTCCCTCTACTGTTGTTCCCCATCTAGCACGGGCCTTGTCCGGCACACGGCATGCGATGCCCCTGAGTGCGTCTGCCTTACGTGCATGAGTCAAGCGTTTGCAATCATAAGAACTTCATTGAGCCTTGCATGTCTAGAACATGAAGCTTGACAAGGCCTACTGTTCCACCTTTCAACCTCTGAAGGCAAGGTTCATGCCCACCCCACGGTACGAATATTTTAGAATATGATTTATGCCAGCTTAATATCTTCAATAGTAGTGCATAATGTCTGCCTTATAGTTCTTTCTTAGTCCTTGTTTCTTGATTGTAACCCTTTACTCAGGATGAGCAACATTCTAAGGTTGTGTGTGGGGGTGGGGGTGGGCTTCATGGTTATAATCCAATTTTTCGGCCATCCATTTCAAAGAATGGTGAAATTTGAGCTAATTAGAATTTCTTTTTTAGTTCTACAAGTTCCATATGGGTTTTATGTTCTATTATGTTTTGCAAGTATATATACAACTTGGTGCATAAATACTGTGAATGGTGGAGGGGCAATTCTGGCCTAATAAGGGGAGGATTCATTGGGACATCTCGATATGCATATAATGAATAAACAAGTAAGAATTTTAAATTGGTGCAAGAGTTATCAAAAATAAATATTTGAAGACCTTGTTGAGATGAGTAAAATGGACATTTGGTTCATTCAGTTCGAAGTTCAGATACAAAAGTTATGTTGTTCGAAAGATCGCAATGTTGGCTGAGCGGCCAAAAACCCTTGCCAAACTCCACAGATCTCATCACAAAGGCCAAGATACTTGCCTAAGAATCCCTATAAAATTCAAATACAAGCCTACAACAAGATCAAGGGCTGGAAGACCTCTGAAGGGTCCCATAAATATATCCATCAACCTGACAAGCCAACACATGTGTTAATTAACAACCACCTTCGACAGAACATCCCCGACATCCACAACAAGGCAGTTGATCCAACAGCTAGGAGTGAAAAACTCTATGTCAGTGGACTAGTCTAGAGTTAGACAAGCCCATAAGTACCCCCTCTGTTTGGAACTGACCTTCCCAAGCTATAGATAGTCCATTGTCATCGCCACCATTCCAAGCACTGAGAATTCGAGTTCAAATAAGGCAAAGCCCTATCGTTCTAGTTGTAGAGCTAAGTGTAGGAAGGACATCAGGTGAGAATGCTGAGGAGCAGCTATAGTTATGAGGTCTGTTGTCATCCTTGTATTGGGTCACTTTAGTACACCCCACTAGACCTGAGCATTGTGTGGGTTGGGCTTGGCCGAAAAAATCCTGCCATTTCCATCCCACTAGATGAGTCGGCTGGATTTTTTGGGCCAGGCTCGGTGGACTACCCACGCAATTTCTACTGAAAAAATAAGTAAAATGTATATTTTGGGTTGAGCTTAGGTCGAGAAAATTTTTCTAAGCAGTGGAACCTGCGTCCTGGCTCTGCGCATTAAGTCTTGCGGGCCGAGCCAGGCTGAATTTGCTCAGGTTTATCTCCACCTTCACATGGCCCGATATGTCTACTCGATGTAATTGATTGAGATCAATAAAACTTCCTCTATCGAAAAAGGAATCTATTCTTGTCAATGTTAGTGTGTGAATCCAGTCCAACACCATTGCACTAAGACATAATCAATCTTCATTTAATCCACAAACATGTTGTCAGCGTATATTGGGACCTAACTACTTCACAATTCGCCGGCATCTTTGCTAAGTGTCCATTGACTACAGTCTTCACAGACTTCAAATCTAGCCTGAAAGTCTATCATTCTGACAATTAGACTATGGGTGTTAATGTGCTTTCTCTCTGCTCTTGTTCTCCATCTGACACGGGCCTTGCGGGCCTAGTGACCGTCCGGCACACAGTGTGACACCCCCTGCAGTGTACCTATCATGCATGAGTGATCATAGCCGCCCCTCTATCATCTTGATCCTATCTTTTATCTATAAATTAATGAGTGGACCTATAGGCTTGGTTTATATATTTGTAACCTTGTTAACAATTCAATATACAAGAATTAAGCATGACAATTTCTACTATCATGCATGAGCAATGGGTTGTCATAATCACCAACCTAGTAGAAAGCCAATCTGTCATCCCATTCTCGAAAGTAACAGGTGATTACTTCGAGTGGAAGTTCTAGCTCTAAATAAGATTGTGACAATATTTTGTCAGGCATACTTGGCATATTGAGAAATCCAAGCAAGAACACGAATATTTTATACTTGGCATATTGACAAAACAAAACAAAACAAAGAATAGAAGGTTGGTGAAAGTCTGAGTTGTTGCATTCCATTTGGACTGGTTGGTGGAATGTGGAAAAGGAGGCACACAAAGTTACACTCACATGCTTCGCGCCAGATTTTATATGCTTTAGATTCCTGTGATATCCAAACTTTTCATAATTTCCAGTCAAACTATCCTGCATAGCTCTAGTTCAAAAATTGTGGCCATGTTTAAAAACCAAACCAAGGCTGAAAACCTTTCATGGCTTCCAGTCAAAATTACCTGCATATTGCCGTCAAAAAAAAAAAATTACCTGCATAGCTCTCTCCTGAGATGTAAAACTCTGTGTCCTTGTACTCTGAAAATCGCTCTAGCCAGTGCACTAGGAAGCTATAAGCATCCTCAGCTAAAAAAAGGATAAGAGAAAAGGATTACATGAAATCCATTGTTAATCAGCAAGCTAGCACTTATTAATATTAATGACCGAAATTCAACAGCAAGCTAAGGCAAAATCTAATCTATAGCAGAATTGTAGCTCTAGGCCTTTTTTTCAAATAATATAGTGTCAGGCAAAACATTGTTTCACGATCAATTTACCTACAAATTCATCATTCACCCTTTCAATATCAGAGGATGTGTTGGTGTAGGAGAATCCAACCCCAGCAGGAGACTCCAAGAACAGCAGGTTGGCCTCTGTCAAGAAAAAAGAAAGACTTAACATTGTGCTTCACACAAGTGTTCCAGGCAACTGAATAAGGGCCGCATGCAAGCAACTCAAACGCACCATTGTTCCAGGCATATTTATTGAACTCCAGCGCTGCTCCTTGTCCGACAACTCTGAGAGGCCCCAGCTCAGATGCAGCTCAGGTCCTAGCGTCATTAGAAGTACAAGCTTGTCGTAAACAAAAGTGCAAAGATTAGAAAGAACAGAAGACCTAACATGAGATGAAGAAAATTCAGCAAAATTATCATTACTAAATAATGCAAATTAAGGATCACAAATACCATGAATCGACACAAGACAAAGCAAGGTCAGATGTAGTAGTAAAAGTATTCCCTCCGCATGAAAATGTAAGGTGTTTGTCTTATGACAAAACTGAAACACCATACATTTCGAATGTAGTATAAACAATTTGGTATGCACTATTCAACAACTAAAGAAGAGATAACAGATTGTAGCAGCTGTACACTCAGAATCTCAAGGAGTAAAACTCACTAATTATATTTCCAATGGAAGCTAAACCTTTGAAATTTTAACTGCTGAAGGTAGTATGTACAAGGAGAGCAGAAGTGACCTCCATTGAACCACAGGAGGAGCGGCTTCTCCTCCGGCGGCGTCTGTGCCTCGAAGAACCAGTAGAAGAGCGTTCTCCCGTTGGGCTCGTTCACCGTGACGTAGCCAGAGAACTGGGACACGCTCGGGCTCTCTGTCTGGCCAGGAAGGCGTGTCACCCTGTCGGTATCCCGCTGGTCGCTGGCCAGCGACAGTGAGCAGGAAGAGAAGGTGACCAAGGCGAGAGAGGAGACGAGGCAGAGGAAGAGACGTGCTGCTGCCATCGCCATGGGTCGGTGAGGGATGGTTTGGGCGCCTGGGAATGGAAATTGGCAAGTGGAGGTGGAGTTGAGGACTTGATGTCAGGAGCTACGCGGCTGGGCCTCTTGGTCTTCCTGTCTGCCCAGTTTGTACACCCTTCCGTTGCAAAAGGCAGGGTTTTATGGCTTGTTAAATGGCTCTTGACTGTAGAGTTCAATTAGTATGGTGATTTGGTGGCAAATTAGGGAGCGTAAAATATATGTATGGTTCGAGCATCTCCAACTGATTACTTATCTTCCATCCCTTAAAAAAGACATATAGGTGACCTCTTACTATTAGTAATGTCTATCAAGATCTAGCACTAAAGCCGAGTACAAGACACTTGCTAATGCCAGTGTTGGAGTTGATGTGGGTTTAAAAGTTACTTGGTGAGTTAGGAATTCCACACACCCCTGCAGCTCGCTTATGGTGGAATAACACTAATCCAGTGTTTCATGCTTGCACCAAACATATTGAGATCGATTATCATCTTCTAAGAGAACAAGTTGCACAAAAGCTTATGGGTATTCGGTTCATTCATTCAGAAGATCAGGTGGTTGATGGCTTCACAAAGGCGCTTCCCGAGCAACGGCTGATCACATTTCGAAGTAATCTCAACTTTACAGAAAGTTGTGATTAACTGAGGGTGTTAACTGTTAAGACGGTGAGCCCTAGCGTCGCCCGCCACCCAACCCCTGTCCTCCCGTTCTCTTGGCTTGCCGTCGCCTGAGTGAGCCGCCGGAGGCCCCTGAGGATGGTGGCAGCGGGGCCCACGCAGCTATAGGCTGCCGTTAGCAGTTAGGCGCTCAGCTGTTTCCCGTGCTGTTCATCGGCGTCCCGGTTCGCCAGTGCCCGGGAAGGGCAGCGCGGTGGCTTAGATCCACATCGGGGGAAGGCGAATCCAGCGATGGGACACAGCAGAGGTAGGGCTCCGCGTACAAGGCGGCGGCCATGCCGATTTGGACGATTTCCCAAATTGGTGGCAAGCGACGCGTCAGCAAGCTTGTGCCCGACGGCGGCGCTCAGAGATGGGTCCCCCCCCCACACACACACACCCAACACCCTTCCCCCCACTAGCCCTAGCGCTGCCGCCACTGAAGCTTGCATCCGGCGAGACCCTATGGTGACGGCAGCGGAGGTGGTCGAGAGGGCGGCGGGTAGCGGCGAGGTGCCGGTGGCGCCATCCCTTTGGGCAGCGGCGGTTTTGGCGGAGGATGGTGGCGGCCTAAGCGTCGATGGCCAGTCCTCAGCAAGGAGAAGGCGGATCCAGCGGAGGTGGTTCCGTAGGCAGTCCTAGCGGTGGCGGCGACCTGGGAGTCTGAAAACCTCCTCGGTGGCGGCGGCAACCCTAGGGGCACCGGTGGCCTGAGTGTCGGTGAAGATCTCGGCGAGGAGGAGGCGGATCAGGTAGAGGCAGATCCCGTTTGCAGTGGCGGCCCTAGGGGAGGCGAAGGCCTTAGAGTCCCGGCGGAAGACGATATCCTCGACGGCAGTGACTTAGGACTCCAGCAGAGGCGACACCATGATCCGAGTGACTATGGCTGCTCTATGGGCGGCGGAGACCTTGGAATCTGGCGAAGCGGAAGCGGATCCTGTCGGCTTACGTCTAATCGTCTAGTTCTGACTGGACGATGACAAATTAAGGTGGGCTAACCGGCTGCACTTGACATCACCTCACTTGAAGCGGATGAAGTTGGCACCAGCGGAGGTTCGTAGCGATGGCGCACTATGGGTGGCGGCGACTTGACAACTTTCACTTGCCGAATCTGGCCGTTTTAGGAGAGGATGGCAGGAAGCAAGGATGTGACGAGGTCATAGTTTTTTCCTTTTTTTGGTTGTGTTCTTCTCTTTGTTGAGGTATGAGTCTAAGTGCTCTTGTATCCTTTTGGCGTGGATATAAAGGCTAGATTAATGAATCCATTATCTAAAAAAAACAGAGGGTGTTAAGATATCAGTGATTGGCGTGACTGCTTGTTCCCTTGTATGCGTGATTGATTGTTTTTTTTTTTTGTGGCAGTGCGTGATTGATTGTTGTATCTCTAGATTAGGAACACTAGCACGAATTGCTTTATTTCCTTTCTCTGTAATCTTGTAATGCAAGCTACACTTATACAAGGCACGTGCAGGGGCTGTTCCTGGATATTTAACACGGAACCGTGATCCCTTAATGGCATCACGGTAACTCCAATTTCACAATCATCACAGTTTATCCTATGTCATCTTCTCTGAAATCTTGCTCTATCCCACCGCACCATCCATCAACGTTCAACGGTGTGTGGGAAGCTGCTCACCACGGAGGAATGTGTTGATCAGTGTCAGCCCTTCAGCAGGCTTGTTAAGGGGCACCAGGTGACCTGCACCCCTGACCGTCACCATGCTCATCCCATAGTACTCCACAAACCTCCCAGCAACCTGCATGCCACGTTGTGCCCCTCATTTTTATTTTTATTTTATTAGCATCACTGGCTACTGGTATGTTCAACGCACAAGATGTTCAGATAAGCTGTTAGTTCAGACCTACCTGTTTGTCAAGGTACCAGGGTTGCCACTGGGTCTTCATAGGCAGCTTGAGTGCTTCCACACAGTACCGGGAGCCGATCACTGGGACCCTACCATCTGCGTCACCGCTTCATTGACAAATAAATGGATGCATTATAGAGAGAGTGATTGATGGGTGTGAAGAATTCACTTGAGCATGCACTTGTTGTGAGACTTCAGAGAAGGTACACATGAAAAGGAAGTTATGCCTAACATGCATAGATGTAGGACATTCTCAGTGTGCTCAAAGAACCAGACCTGTAGAGCCAAACTCTCAGTCCTGCTTTGATGAGCTTAGAGTATATGGGTAGGACCGAGAATACCGAGAAATTGTAGAAATTCAGGATGGGATCACTGCACAAGAGATGAATGAGTTCATGTTCTTTTTGTTCCAGAAGAAATCCAGTAACTGGTACTTAAGTATATCCACAAGAGAACAGCTTTGAGGCGATCCACCTGCAGACATGCCATTTCACTGGAAGCGATCCACTGACGACATTAGCATGAAACACCTTCTGCACTTCCTTCTTGTTGAAGTAGTCCTCAGCATAGGATGAGTAGCACGGATCATAGCCAGAGAACATCCGTATCCTTCTCCTGAACTTCTCCTGGCATTTCGAAGATAAGCATCATTAATTTTAGGAAGGATCTTTGACCTGCTGGAACTTTCTGCATTCATATGCAAGGATACTATACCTGATCATTCATGAAGAATGCATGATTTTCAGAAGACGCTGAACTCTGGTTTAGAAGGCACTTGGGTGCATAGATGTCTCGTCGTACTGATTATAGACGATATCCATGACAGCATTGCAGTTATCAGACCAATTAAAATTCTTGAAGTCGCAATACTTTTTGATGCGGTCGTATATTTCATCAGACACAACTGAGTGGCTCCAGGCATACTCAGCTAGCCCTTTCGAATCATAGTAATAATTAGTAATAGGATTCCCAACCTACAATAAGTCCATTCTGAATGTATTATGTTCCAGCAGGAATTGATTTCTCATGTGCATAGCTTGAACATAACTCTCGTTTCCATTCTTTTTTTGGTTCATATACCCAATGTAATTTTTTTTTAAAATTATCCACATAGAAAGTTTAGAAACCTTATGCACTATCCCAAAAAAGGTGGAAAATGTTTTCTTCTGGTTTTCTGAATGTTCAATTCACGGGATATTTCATTTGTTGTAGAGATTGTGAAGACTTCTAATCAGACTTGCATTTGTTCAAAAATATATTATGCAATATAACATTCAGAAAACCAGCAGATATACTATCAGGTGCTGTATCTTTTACGTGTGAAACAATTTATTTAAAAAGGAAAATTCTTGCAGCATAAATCTAATTCAAATCCTCACAATGAACCCCTTGAGGTTGATATACGCTTTGCCCTTCTTGTCCTTGTTCCTATCATAAACAAGTTCAGCCAGCTGTGGCACATAATGACCTGCAGCATAGGAAGTTCAGATTTCTTCTTCAGTGACGTACAGGAGACACGGTTCCGAAGGCATTTCTCCATAGATGTTGCTATCAACTAAGACCGATGTGATTCGTGAACCTACCACACTAGTTATTTGATCATTCTTTTAGTAGACATATGTTTGGAGATCCAATGAACCACTAAAAATATTTAACTATATGCACATACGCAGAAATGAATTTTAGTACTTGGTTTGAACCAAGTTAGGTATTCAGTATGGGTACTATTTGCATTCTCAAATTAAGACCCAAACAAAAAAAAATCATTTTAACTCAGGCTTTCTTTTTTGCTCTGGATAATTGGATGACAGTCAACACATTGTGTGTCATGAAAGCGAAGGCTGAAAATGATGCCTACATAATTTTCAAAGTGTTGCTTTCTGATCTAACAATTTCTCCAGTTTGTATGATCTATTATTCGCTTAGGATACCATGAACAATGGGTTGTTGTAATGGCCAACCCAGTAGAAAGGCAAGCTGTCAACCTCAACCCTTTCTAGAAAGCAACCGATTTTTATGAGTGGAAATTCCAGTTCCAGATAAGATGGTGGCACTATTTTGTCAAGCACACTTGTTATATTGATAAAACAAAGCAAAAACAGGAATACTTCGCATATTGAGAAATCCAAGCAAGAATAGAAGGTTGGTGAAAGTCTGAATTGCTGCCTTCCATTTGGACTGCATAGTGGTAGTGGAATATTGAAAAGGAGTAATATAAAGCTACACTCGCATGCTTCACACCAGATTTTGTGTGTTGTAGATTCCTTCTAGCACATTGTCTACGTTTCTCATGCCCCCCAAAAAAAATATAAACCAAGGTTTAAAAGATTTCATGATTTATAGCCAAAATTACCTGCATAGCTCTCTCCTGCGATGTAGAACTCTCTGTCCCTGTACTCCGGAAACCGCTCTAGCCAATTCACTAGGAAGCTATACGCATCTTCCGCTAGAAAGCGAAAAGGATTAATTACACAGAATCCCATTTTGTTAATCAATAAACCACATAATGACCGGAGCTGAACAGCAAAGCAAAGTTTAATCTTTCGAAGAATTGGAGCCTTTATTTAGTGGGGCGCATTCTTTTATGATCAATTTAACGTTGTTTCATGATGAATTTACCTACAAAGTCATCATTGAGTTTGTCAAGGTCAGAGGATGTGTTGGTGTAGGAGAAGCCAACTCCAACATGAGACTCCAAGAACAGCAGGTTAGCCTCTGGCAAGCACAGAAAAGACTTTCAAACAGATGCAACTAACCTTGAGAATGAAAAAGAACAAAAAATTCAGAAAGCAGAGCACCTTTGTTCCAGGCATATTCGTTGAACTCCAGCGCTGCTCCTCGTCCGACAACTCTGAGAGGCCCTAGCTCAGATGCAGCTCCATAGCCAATCGAGGAGCAACCAGGTCCTAAATCGGTAATCACAAGTTAAACCTTCCAGTAGAAACTAAAACAAATGCGCAGAAAGTAGCAAGAACTGAATGAAGTTCTATAATGTGACAAAAAAGGTAATTCAGAAAAATTATCATCAATGCATACAAATGATCACAAATACCAACAACATGAATCGGCACAGAGAAGAACAAACTACAAAAAGCAAGAACAGATGTACTACTAAGTAGTAACCAATATGACAGACAGGTCATCGCTGCTCAACAACTAAAGAAGCAGAACAAATGGTAGGAGCTGTACACTAAGAATCGAGTAAAGGTCACTAATTTCCAATGGAAACTAATCCTTTGAGATTTTGTAATAACTGCTAAGGTATGGTAGAGCAGAAGCGACCTCCGTTGAGCCAGAGGAGGAGCGGCTTCTCCTCCGGCGTGGTCTGCGCCTCGAAGAACCAGTAGAAGAGCGCCCTCCCGTTGCGCTCGTTCACAGTGACGTAGCCGGAGAACTGCGACATGCTCGGGCTCTCCGGCTGCCCGGGGAGGCGCGCCACTCTGTCGGCGTCCCGCTGGTCGCTGGTGGCGCTGGCCAGCGACTGCGAGGAGGAAGAGAAGGTGGGCAAGGCAAGAGCGGAGACGAGGCAGAGGAAGAGACATGCTGCCGCCATCGCCACGGGTACGGGTCGGTGGGAGATGGTTTGGGCGCCTGGGACTGGGAATGAATGTTTGGTAAGAATTACCTGGCTATAGAGTTTTTCGTGATTTGTTGGCAAGAATGTTTGATGTTTGGTAATAAAGGTTTTTTGCTGGGTCAAAGTCGGGAGTTTTTTTTTATACTTCCTCACACCATCGCTCATGTGCTTATGTTGCGTGTAGGATGGCTAATCATATTTATCTTTTTTTATATAATGGATTTATTAATTCGGCATCTATATCCACGAAGGATATACACAGCCAAAAAGACATAAGAGCACTTAGACTCACGCCTCAACAAAAAGGAAAACACACATCCAAAAGAGGAAAAAAACTATGACCTCAGCAATTCCTGCATCCTGACATCCTCTCCGGAAACGGCCAGATTCGATGGGTGGAAGTCGTCAAGTCGCCACCGCCCCTAGTGCGCCATCGCTGCAAACCTCCTATGGTGCCATCTTCTTCATCCGCTTCAAGTGAGGTGATGCCACGCGTCGCCGGTTAACCCACCTTCATCCATCATCGTCCAGTTAGGATTAGCCGATTAGACGCGGTCCGACAGGATCCTCTTCCACTTTGCCAGATTCCAAGGCCTCCGTTGCCCATAGGGTAGCCGCCGTCATTGGGATAATGGCAGTCGCCTTTGTTGGAGTCCTCTGTTGTTGCCGCCGAGGTTATCCTCTTCCACCCATACTCCTAGGCCTCCACCCCTTCTACTCTTCTAGGGTCACCGTTGTTGCCCCTAAGATGGGTAATCATGTTTATCTTTTACATATCTACTAATATATTATACTCTCTCTATTCAACTATAAGTTTTTTCCAAATAGACAACAAAAGCTTTGCCGCAATTTTTATGAGATGGAGAAAATAAAAGGTAAATTGTTGGCCCAATTTTTTTATTGGAAACCAAGTCCAAAAGTCACGCAACTTGGAGAGTGGTTCACTCATCCTGCACAACTTCGAACCGAACAATTGGAAACTTCACTCCCCTACTTGCTCAACTCTAAGCCAACTTGGTCGAAACGACCCACCTAGCAACTCAACTACTCTAACATCTAGCTAACAACTAAAACAACTCAGAACACCTCCACTCAAGAATGTAAATTATTCTATATTCAAGTTGGAGGATGATTTTAAAAATCTAGGGATAGCTTTAGGAGGGTAAATCTGACATTACTCAAACAAAAATGTTTTTTTTAACGAACGTAGTATTTACTTATATAAACATCCTCCAATTATTTATGGCCCTATGGCGTATATAACAGCACTTTGTGACGGTTGAAATCAAATAAAAATGAAAATATAATAGGAAAAATAAAGAAAGAGTCAATGTAAAGGAACGAAGATAGACCGGACTCACTAAGACGCTGTTGGCCCATTTAGTTGTTTATTTATTTAGGAAATGATATGATGGTCTTGGAGCGTGCCGTTGCCCAATATTGTTGCGAGGCCCAAATCATTAGCCCATTGAGCGCTGCTAAGGCCCATATTTAGCCGGCCACAATCCACCACTCTCCTGTCACGCTGGAGGCATGGGCTCAGAAACAAGACCTTGAACATTAATTTGGTGTTCCAACTTGACGATCAAAGTGCTTTAAATAAAAGTAAACGGGCTCGTGGTCCAGTGGTAGGGTTGTCTAGTGGGATGTTATCAACCAGGGTTTAAATTCTAGTGTTGCCTCTTTTTTCTGGAAGCTTTTTTCTCGAAAGGCTAGAGAACCTCTTAATCTCTTCTTTACGTGTGCACGGACGCGCACGCGTGTGGTGTGAGTGTGGAGTGTCTTTTCTCTAGAATTTTTCCAAAAATTTAGGGTACTACGCATTTCCACGCACCGGAGGCTAGAGAGCCTCTCAATCTCTTCTTTGCGTGTGTATGAACGTGCACGCATGTGTGTGCTTGTGGTGTGAGTGTGGGGTGTGTATGTTGTCTGCGTTCAAGTTGTACCCGATAAAAAAAACGCATTAAAAAAAGTACGTTGTGGCCTTTTGCAACTACTTATTGTTTTTTATCAATAAGCCCCGACTTAACATGGGTGCTCGCATTTTCCTAGATTGATTTCAGGATTTAACTGATTTATTCTTTCAGTGATAGGCGACATGCCCGTCGACAGCGAGGCGCCTGTAGTGACTTCGTCAATCTCGAGATTTACCGGTTCAACTCAGTCCTTCGGAGGTGCTCATAGGGGTAGAGTGTGTGCGCGTGCGTTCATAGAGGTGAGTGTGCGCTCGTGCATGAGAGCTTCTGCGTCTGTAGCTGTGTCTAAAAAAACAGACAGGGAATGAGCCGTAGCTTGGATGGCATTGGCTCCCGTGGAGGAGCAGTTGGTGATTTCGAGCCTTGCTCGACTCATGTTCCCCATCGGGGGCTTTGGATGAGCCACAGTTATCACATCTCTCTCCCGTGTTCTTTAAGATCTAGATATATATTGTAGGTATAGTGCATGCGTGGGTGTGAGTTGGGGTGGGAGTTCGGTTAGTGCGTGCGTGTGGTGTGAGTTGAGATACTACAATTTGAAGGTTAAGGCAATAAAAAAGTCTTTAACAAGTTTTTTTTCAAACCATTTGCAACTACTTATTCTTTTTTATCAAGAGGCTACCTGTGGTGTGAGTCGAGGCGTGAGTTCAGATACTAAACTTATATTCGAAGGTTAAGGCAATAAAAAAAAGTCTTCAACAAGCAGCTATTCTATTCAAGCCGTTTGCAACTACTTATTCTTTTTTACCAAGGAGGCTTTGACATATGAGCAAGGGACCTTTAATAAAATGTGACCCAGAAAGGACGAACCAATCAATCGGAGATATGATTAAAAATTAGGAGAAACAAGTACCCAGACTCAAACCAAGAGAAACTCATGTCTTCCTGAGGCGCACTGGATTCGGATCCCTCCTCCAGCACCATAGCCGTGCTACACCTATACGTCGGGTACCCATGAAGATATAACTGAAATTTTTATTTTGAATAATAACAAACAAAAGATGCTTTTTATTAGTTGATAGAATGTAAGAAGATATTGGTAACAGAGACTGGGCCTTTACTCTTTTATTAGCATCAGTTATTATTCTTGTACCATATATATACAATTATATAATGAAATTCGAAAACATTTCAGGTTGTGTAAGTATTTTTCAAATATAAGGAGCAGGGTCACATTTTGTATTTCGGGTTTGGCCCCAGTTTGAAGCCGGCAATGCCATCCTGACCCACCGCCCATGACCAGGGCACCATTCTTGGGCTTGGGTATGCCCATGAGGTAGATTTGGGCTTCGGCTCTTCATGACCTGGGCTACATTGGGACATGGTCCCTTCATCTACTGGGTAGATTTGGTCCAAGAAGTATACAAACAAACAACATAGTGCAGAACTACGTCACGAGAACTGATCATAAATCAGTTCATTTGGTTTCTTACGGTGAAATCTGCACATCCGGGTTTAAGCGCTTGACTTAGCATATATGTTCGTATTTTTCTAGATTTATTCCAGGATTTAACAGCGCTATAAGTTCTTGCCTGTGTAATTCTAAAAAAACAAAAATGAGAATAAAAAAAGGTGAAACACAGCTACACAAATCTTAAAGAGATATAGACCATTATAAGCGAGTAAAAGCCAACAAGAAAAATAGTCAGCTATTATTTATTAGCTAACCTGAAAATGAATGTTTAGAACGACATATAAGACTTCTTTTTGTTAGAACATACTTCCTTCGTTCCCAAAATTGTAATTTTTGCCTTCCATAGAAGTAAAACAATTTTAAGCTTTATCAAATCATACAAAAAATTACTAACTTTTATGGTATTGAAAAATATCATTAAATTAGTTATGGAGTATCTTTTCGTAGTAAATCTAATTGAAGACATAAATATTAATGTTTTTTTAATGAACTTGGTCAAACTTAGAAAAAATTGACTCGTCTCAAATTTAGAATTGCAATATTTTAGGGACAGAAATAGTAGGAAGTATCTATAAAATAGTTGCAATATTCAAATGGCAATCACAAACCGACCATGAAAATGACATGTTGCCGGCGTCTGCGTGCATTTCTCCCCATCTGAATTCTGAGGATCGGCCACATTATTATGTTATAATATGGCTCGACATGCACACGTAGGTTCATCCAATCCAACGTGTTTGCTGCCTAATGCATGCATGCAAAGCGAATCATCGACCTACTTTGTCTTAATCTAATCTTTGTTCGCCTAATTACTTATTATTAGACGGCGCTGCGATTGACGGCGTCGCTCACGTTCTCCTTGTCAGTTGCTCAGTGTGTTTCCTTCGCTTTCTAGGCGGGATTTTTTTTTGAAAAAAAAATAAAGGCGTTTTCTACGTAGTATAAACGTATTTGGTGGCCATGTTCCAAAAAGGCGAGGAGGCAGTTGGTACACCTATGCATGTTATGTGTTTTGTTTTCTATATAAGCAAACTAATCAGCAAAAAACCTGGCCGGTGTATGCGTCCTCATTTTGATTTCTCTCTGTGTGTGGTATCTCCTCTCAGAGAATGTATTATTTCGACAAGGAAAAAAAGTACAAGATAAACAAAATACATCACGTACAATTAGGCAAATAAATAACACCGACCTTTTCAGTCACCATGTTTATTGCCTTTATTTGATTGGCATCTACACACATCAGCACTTTAAGCAAAGTGTCAAACTTAGATTGTTAATTAATTGAATGCTGCCTTCATCGTGGTCCTTAATTCTATTTTGATGTCAAGAGGAATAGACAAAAAGAGACTCCATATGTATGTACCACTATATATATATGTTTGTAAAAAAACAACATTTCCACATATACTGAGCAACAATTATTTGAACTTGTCCTGTTAATATAACTTCATCAAAATTGTTTCGTTGTCACAAGCACTGCTTTACTAATTTATCCCACAAATACTCAACCATCAAATCTTCAAATAAAACTATGCATGTTGGTATTCTTCAAATCAACCTACAATGGATGGATGTAGTAAGTGCCA